CGAACGCTTCTAACCTTTTCTTTTCTGCTACGTCCACCGTCCATGTTTCGCACCCATACAGCGCCGTGCTCCAAATATACCCCTTTAACAACCTTTTTCGAATTTCTAAATTAATCGTTTGCGAGCATAGAAGTAACTTTTTTTATTGAAGGCGATTCGATCCTGCGATATCGTCTGCTTTATATTCCTACTACTCCTTCCATCCTGACTTATCTGACTTCCTAGGTACCTAAAATCAGTCACTTCTTCTAATCATTCGTCTCCTATCTTTATATTCGCTCATTCCCTACTTTTTCTTCCCTTACATACTAGTATTTTTGTTTTACATTTATTTATTTTCATACAGTACTGTTTTATCAATACCGCTTCCATTTAATTCTCCTTGCTAGATGCTAATACTGCTATCACATCTGCAAATCTAAGTGTACTAATCTTTTGCCCCTCTATATCTACCCTTACAGTTGTGCTGTCTTTAATGATGTTTATCGCGAAAATTAATATTGCTTAGCCATCATAGATTGCAAATACTTATAAACGTAGCAACTCTACTTCAACCCCTTTCAGAGGTCGAATTTTTTAAAATGCCGGAATAGGTTTTTGATTTAGTAATTATACTAAACAGCATTAATACCAAAAATGCTCTATGCAAATCTTGGATCTGGGATGTTCTTGTTTTTGGGAAATGCGAACGATTAGCTAAGGATAGGAAAGAGTGAAGGTGCGTGCCCAGCCACTTATGTATGATGATGATGACAAACCTTACCAACTCTTTTTATCCCTACAAATTTACTTATGTGTAATATTGTTACAACATTAAAAGGCCACAATTGTAGTGAATTGTATTAAAAAATGTTTCTGAAATTTATTTGGACAAGAACGCGGAATAAATTTTCTGCATTATATACGATTTCACTTCACCTGTCAATTAAGTCTTTGTCATCTATTTTTGTTCACCTTCTTTTGATGATCTACATACGTCGTGTACTTTTAATAAATGTATACTCACACGCACGTACATATGTTGATTGTATGTGGCAAATTTAGAAAAGAAATAACTTTTACTTCCTCTTTAACTGGACATTTGCCAATGGGCTGCAATATTCGCGGATTAACATTCTTACCTAGTAATTATTTAGGTATATATTTATATCTGCTGTCTTTCACTAACGATCATGATCGACTTTAAAGAACTGCTACATTTCTAATGAACAATTGCATAAATATAGATTAAAACGTGTCGCTGGAATCGGCGCTTAAAAATTTATCATCTGCATGGTGACAACAACCAGGATGTAGAATAATAACAGATTTATGTTTTATTTCCGTTAGATGTCCTTATTCCAAAATTTATTTGAAACGTATTTGTGTCTTGTTTTTTAATTTTATCTTCGTTACATAGAGAATATTATTTATATTAAACAAAAATGCTTATAGATTTTATTAAATAGTTCGTTGAAACAATGTGCTGCTTATCCGGGTTTATATTGTCACTTATTCTAAGCTGATTTTTATTGGTCGATTCGGAAACCCATACTCACATCAAATTGGAGAAATATCGAACATTACTTATATTCATTTCAGAACGTTCGCAATTCTTCCGGTCCAATTTACTCTAGAATATTCTACTTGAAGACAGTCGTAAATATTCGGAAGTATCTAGCTAAGAACACTGCTAGAAACATTCAAGAATTCTCGAGTATTATAAATTGGTGTTTGGCGACCAGTGACTAAACTGAAGAAATTTCAAACGTTATAAGAGATTCCAAACTTTAGAGTACTTTGATTCAAATATGACAATACGTCCATAAATAAAAATTTATGAATATGACAGTGCGCGGTGCAACGGTCGGAGCGTTCGAGTCCGGCGATTGCGGAGGTAAACCAACCCGCTAGGCACGGTCGCCCGATCGATTCACCGGGCATCGTTGCGCGGTGCAACGTTCGAACTTTTTGGGACTTGAAGATTGGTCGAATATTGCCAAACCCATTGGTACTTGGCTGCACAGTACTGGACCAATCTTGGCAAAACGTTAATGTACCAAACCTTGGCTTTAGAAGATTGACCAAACTTTAGTCCAGTACCGATAAGTCAATGCATGGTTCCTTACTACTGGTTTAGGCTTGGGCCTGTCGTCAACTCCGGTAAATGGGTTGAAATCCACAATTTTTTTCGAATTAATGGGTCATCAAAAATTAAAAAAAAAAACAGTCAACTTTGCGAACGTTCTTAAAAGACAAACCTACTAATTCCATCGGTGGGCGAACAAGCCCGACATGTCAAAAGATTGGTGATTTTTAATTAAAAACTACGATTTAATGCAGATACATTAAACACAGTTCCATCCTCTAACTAGACGTTATAGTCAACTGGTTCCTAATAGTCCGATCTTGATTGGAGTTGCACAAATTTTCAGTACATATATGTACTCTAGAACTATAGATATTAGCACATTATTATATAGTAATATGTGTAATAACAGTATTTGAGTAAGATGGGAACCTAAAATAAATACGGGATCATTATCATCACCACCATCATCATAAGGTTGTCAGTCCTAAGACTGGTTGGACACGCACCTCCACTCTTTCCTTTCTGAGCTAATCTTCGCATTTCCGTAAAACTAGAACAACCCTCATTCTTAACTATTTGCGAACAGTAATCTAATCTAGGTCTACGTCTAACCCTTCAACTCCCGTTTCTGTCTCTAATAAGTCTCTGACTAGGCCTTTATGCCTGAGAAGGTGTCCTACAAACCTATCTCGCTTATTTTTTATAGAGACTTCTGTTCTCCTATTCTTTTTAATACCTCTTCATTTTTGACCTCTATCCACTGTATCATCATCATTCGCCTGTAACACTACATTTCGAACGCTTCTAACCTTTTCTTTTCCGCAGCGCCCACTGTCCACGTTTCGCACCCGTACAGCGCTGCGCTCCAAACACACACCTTTAACAATCTTTTTCGAATTTACAAATTAACCGTTCGCGAGCATAGAAGTGACTCGACCCTGTGCTACCTTTTTATTTATATCCCTACTACTCCTTCCATCCTGACTTATCTGACTTCCTAGGTACCTAAAATCGGCCACTTATTCGTCTCCTATCTTTATATTCTCTCTTTCCCGACTTTTTCTTCCCTTGCATAGCAGTATTTTTGTTTCACTTTTATTTATTTTCGTACAATACTGTTTCATCAATACCGCTTCGATTTTATTTAAAGCTATCTCTAACTCCTCCTTGCTAAATGTTAATACTGCTATATCATCTGCAAATACTAATCGGGAACATTTTATAAAAAATTACGGCATGCGTTGTATAACCAAAAAGTATGTGTTCTACATTTCTGCAGCTCTCACAAACACGCTACCTCTGCATTTACATGCGCCGTATTATTATTTCCAAACGGATTGAACTAGTTATTTTAACCTGAAGGAAACTCAAATCTCACTGCACGTACTTTTATTTGGGATGCTGGTAGGTGAATAATGATACCTTCAAACCGCGTAATTTTACTAACAAATAAGAGCACACAACTTGCTGCAAACGTGTTTCAATTTCAAACAAGAGCATACACTAGAGTTAATTAGGATAATAGTCCTCGTATGAGAGTTGACCATAAAATACGAAAGCGTGACCTCAGGTTGCCTATTCATATCTACATACAGACATGCACATAGGTGTGTATTTAGAAAAAAAAATTTAAAGTCAAAGTATCAGCAAAGGTTGTCAGGGGTCAGGTTAGGGTAGATTTGGAGCTAATTTAAGAACAATAGCTGATAAAATTTTATCATTACTAACTAGCACCCGGATTTATATGCGATAAAAAAAGAAATATATTTTTTTATGAGTGTATGTATTAAAAATACTGTGGCATAGCTAAAAATGCGATTTTTAGGGTTCCGTATGTCCGAATGAAAAACGGAACCCTTATAGGATCACTCGTGTGTCTGTTTGTCCTTCTGTTACAGTCAATTTGCAGCAATCTACTGGACGGATTAAGTTAAATAAAGTAAATAAATTAATTTTGAACATGAGGTTCATTTTTGGAGTGCTAATAAGAAATACCGTGTGACATCAAATGAAAGGGCTTGTAAAGTTCTCAAATATATTTTGTTCCTGTCGTTTGTTAGTAGATATATCAGGTTTTGATTATCGATAACTTATTAGTACGATTTTGGCACCCTGCAGACTTTTAGTGTTTATAAATATTGTAGGCTCGCTTCAATGGTTTCAACTCAACTATCTCGTTGAAAATCCGCCGACCAAGAATTAAAATTTTATTGGCTTAATCGATTTTTCCAACGGGATTTTATGTAGTATGAAACGTTGGTGAGGGTGGTATTTAATGGAAAGTTCGTACTCGGCAAATTACTATCCGGTGCATTTCTATTCTTTAGTAAAATTTTAACGTTTGTCGATAGATTTTTGTTATTTGAAAATGAACGCTGTACGTCACATAATGTAATGGGGGCACATTTCAAGGACACTAAATCTTCAGAATTCGTATTAATTTCTTCAATCCTTTTCAAAGTATCATAAATTCATTTTATTTCATTTTACCACATATGATGCCAAGAACGATATACCATATTTTTGTTAAATAGTTGTTACCTTATTAAATTTAGCGTAGTATATAAAATTCTACAATTATACCAAACAATGGGCTAAAGTGGGATTTAATATTGCATATATAATTATATGTACGATAAGAGCCTGTATTTTTTTAAATAACATATTTATATATATAAACGTTTTAACAAAATATAAATCCGGACTAGTAACAACCAAATACTCACTGCTCCCAACACACATATTCAAAGCAAGCAATGTCTTTCATTTGTTTAATAAATGAAAAGGCGAACGTGTACTTATTTGTCAATAATTTGATGTAAGATATGCTTCTGATGGAGTTAAATAAGAAGTATGTTTTTATATTGTAAGAGGCAAACCGTTTTCATGATTTAACCGTTTTTTTTTTACTTATGTCTCCCTTTTTCAGATGCAATGTCGTATTACCGTGGAAATGTGGCCCGCAGTAGAAATAGTTGGGGCCCAATGTCTATGTCAATGGACTTTCACAGACTGGATCCAGATCCGCATTACGCAGAAGAGTGTACCGAAAGGATGCTCAGTGCTCAAATGCGCCAACTGGATCCTTTGAAGGAAGATTTAGCCGAATGGCTTAACAAAACGCTAGGTAAGAATATTAAATATTACTTATTATCATTATCATCAATATGATGATATGCCTTATACTTTTACGAATTAAAAATGTAACGTTGTACCTACGAGGTCTGTTCGTAAAGTATCGAGAATTCGTGGGTTACGTATATTCGATTTTCGATTTTTTTGTGGCGTTATGTCGGGCACTTATGTGTCTCATTTATACCGACAAGTTCGGCCATGTTGGATGTCCAGTCAATTTTTGATAGGTGTTTTGTTTGTACGTGTTTTATTTCGTCTTCGATTTTTGCCTATTCTAAAAAATTGGTCAAAGAATCTGTACCAAATTTTGTGTGAAAAACAACTGTGGCATATGGTGAAGCTGCTTTGGATCGAAGCAACGTTCATCGGGGGTAAAAAATGTTCTTAGAGGGCCGAGAAAATGTGAACGACGAAGAGCGTGCCGGACGTCGAAGCACGTCAACAACAGACGAAAACATTGATGAAATGAAGAAAATAGTATTGACCATTTGTCGAATCACCGTTAGAGAAGTTACTGAAGATCTAAACATATCGATTGGCTCCTGCCATTGGATTTTTACCAATGATTTGGGCATGAGACGGGTCGCCGCGAAATTCGTATCAAAATTGCTCAATTTTGACCAAAATCAGTATCGCATTTACATTGTTAAGGAGCTGCTTGACTCTGTCCGCGACGACCCAAATTTTCTTCAGAGGGTCATAACTGGTGACGAATCATGGGTTTATGGTGGAAACTAAAGTTCAATCATCCCAATGGAAGCTACAGCACGAGTCAAGACCGAAAAAAGTGCGCCAAGTTAGGTGGAATGTGAAGATTTTGCATACAACTTTCTTCGATTGCAGGGGCGTGGTGCATCATGAGTTCTCGCCACAGGGTAGAACTGTCAATAAGGAATATTACTTGCAAGTTATGCCAAATTTGGGCGAAGCAATCCGCCAGAAGCGCTTCGGATTTGTGGAAAACAAAAATTGCTTTTTCCAGATCTGGCCCCTGTGATTTCTTCTTGCTCCCGAAGCTGAAGAGGCCCATGGAAGGACGACGACGCTACCTTACGATTGAGAAGATAAAAATGGCATCGAAGGAGGAGCTGAACAAGATCATAAAAAATTTTTTTTGAAGTGCTTCGAGGATTGGAAGAAACGTTGGCACAAGTGTATAATATTTAGTGGGGATTACTTTGAAGGGAACAAAGTAGATCATCATCATAAGGTCATCAGTCCTAAGACTGGTTGGACACGTACCTCCACTCTTTCCTATCCTGAGCTAAACTTCGCATTTCTCTAAAACTAGAACAGCCCACATCCTTAACTATTTGCGAACAGTAATCTAATCTAGGTCTACCTCTACCCCTCCTAACTCCTGTTTCTGCCTCTAATATGTCTCTGACTAGACCTTCATGCCTGAGAAGGTGTCCTACCAACCTATCTCGCCTATTTTTTATTGACTTCCATAGAGTCCTCTGTTCTCCTATTCTTTCCAATACCTCTTCATTTCTAACCTTTTCTACCCACGATATCCTCATCATCCGCCTATAACACCACATTTCGAACGCTTCTAACCTTTTCTTTTCCGCCGCTCCCACTGTCCATGTTTCACACCCGTACAACGCCGTGCTCCAAACATACACCTTTAACAACCTTTTTCGAATTTCTAAATTAACCGTTCGCGAGCATAGAAGTGACTTCTTTTTATTAAAGGCGACACGACCCTGCGCTATCCTCTGCTTTATATCCCTACTACTCCTTCCATCCTCACTTATCTGACTTCCTAGGTATCTAAAATCAGCCACTTCTTCTAATTTTTCGTCTCCTATCTTTATATTCGCTCTTTCCCTACTTTTTCTTCCCTTGCATATCAGTATTTTAGTTTTACTTTTATTTATTTTCATACAGTACTGATCTGTCAGTACCGCTTCCATTTTATTTAAAGCTATCTCTAGGTCCTCCTTGCTAGATGCTAATACTGCTATATCATCTGCAAATCTAAGCATACTAATCTTTTGCCCTTGCACATCTATCCCTACAGTTGTACTGTCTTTAATGATGTTGATGGCGTCTTCGATGTATAGATTAAAAAGTAGCGGTGACAGTGTGCATCCCTGCCTGACTCCCTTCCTAATATTTACTTCTCTACGTTGCATCCCCAGCTCTATAACTGCCTGTTGCTCTTTATACAAACTAAGTATCACTCTTCTATCTTTGTAATTCATCCCTACATTTTTAAGTATATTTAACATCTTGTCCCAAAGTAGATATTCATGAATAAATAAATAATTTTTGAAAAAACAGAATTCACAACACTTTTTGAACAGACCTTGTTAATAATAATATTATCCGTTTTTCATCTGTTGTTTCTCAAAACCCATCAGCTTTACGTTTATGGTAGCGATTGAAAGATAGCCGATCCAAATATAGCGCTATCTGCGATTACCGAATAAAATATCGAAAATGGACCTTGTCAGAATCAAACGAAGACTTTTTTTGTTTAATTAGTTCACTTCTCACTGTCTGATAATACCTACTGATAAATACGTTCAACTCGAAATGACATAGATGTAGCTTAAGGTTAAACAACCTCGACCAATAAGAACACGACAGAAAACAAAAACAAACACATCTCCATTATTTTTTTTTTTTTTTTGAACGCCACAATAAGTGAATAAGAATAAAATCGCGAAATAAATCAATATTAAATAATCCCTACCGCTAGAAGGTATATTACCATTATTATGAATAATAATTAAATTCACAATGTCAGAAATAAGAAAAAATAAATAGAAGGTAAACTTAATTTTATTGCTGCTCATTTTGTAAAACACTGTACCAAAACAATACTGAAAAAAGAAAAATAAATACGTAAAAAAAGTCACATCAACAAAAATTAAGTAAAAAATAAAATATACCAACTGTTTTCTTATCTTCTGTACATAACAAATTTTATAGAGGGCTATCACATCTTTTTTTAATCGTAAGTTATAAACAAAATACTTTCAACGGTTTTATTAACGTTTACTACAACTGCATATCTTTACACTATAACTTTAATCAATCACACTTTACATTACTACTTTGTATTAATTACAATTTTACATTTAACAGTGATATATTAGTTATGTACTTTCAATTGGTCTTTTATTATTTTATTAATTAATTTTTTATTTAAATTAATTTGGAGTTTTTCGTCAACAGTAAAATTTCAAAATTATTATCAAAAGTATGTTTTCATTTAAAAATTGTTCTACGTATGTTATGTTTGAATTTCTTAATTAGTATTTGTTTTATTCCTTATTCAAAAGGCCTTTCTGCCCGTACACTTTATTGGAATCCTCAGATTTTGATTTATATGCTACAGCTAATGTGATTAATCTAGAAATTATTCATAATGTTTAGCCATTATGTATAATATTTTGGAGAAAGTGATTAATATATTAGAGTTAATCACATTATCTATTAAAAATTACATAATACTAAGCAAGATTTGAATTTTTGTGTGTTGTCTTTTCTTATCGAATTTTTATAATTTAAAGGTTAAGGTAAGAAAAGAAGGACTTAGCTATTATGAATTATGTTTATACAAAGTGATGAATTAATCACTTTGTCTGCACAATTTAGTTATTATACGTAATATCCAGTTATTATGTATAATCGCTCTACTGTCTAAAGATTTAGGTATATGTTTTATAATAAACTAATACATTCCTTTATTTCTCTAAAGTTTTACATATATTTTAATTTGTTGTTTTTTTGATTGGTTATATCAGATTTACAACTCAAAAATAAAGAAGTGAAAACATGACGATGAATGATCATATACGTTATACATATAGAGCAGAGGTCGGCAAGTAATTCTAGGTGGGATCCGGACATTTTTGAAAATTTTTATCGAGGTCCAGAAAAAAAACATATTCGTTCCTCCAAAAAATAATAAGGATGACCGTCAAAGCTTTAACATCCTTTGTTGTACATATACAAAAGAATATTTTTTAAATATATTCGAGTAATTTACTTTCAAAAACTTTTTGAGCTTTCGCGGTCCGGACCTGGACCTCGGTCCTGTCCAGTTGCAGACCGTTGATATAGAGCTTTCGTGTGCCTGACCTACATAGTAAAAAATTAGTTTCATTTAAATGTTGTAAATCAGTCGTAGTGGTTTAAGGAGCACAATGTGTATTTGGTAAGTTAATTGTATGAAGCAGTAGTTCTTACGAACGCATCAGGATCGAATGTGCATTTAAATGCGAATTTTATACTCAAAAAAAGTCTGATCGCGATTGTGGTGTAACAGGCTGGTGCGGTGACACAGTTCATTGTAAACATGCAGTAATTACCATACAGTATGATCCACGCCTTCTTTTTCATTCTCGTATACGTATAATACATATGTATGCCTAACGTATCTTTTTGATATCATCTTTTGGCTTATTTTATAACTCACCGTGTCGCTCCACGATGTAACATTAATAAATAAATAAATAAATGTAATTACAAGTAAGGCATACATAGGCGCACTTCAATCGTTAAATAAATGGAAATTGTATAAATTGGAACATACAGTAAAAAATATGTAGCAGATTTTACCTTTGGCTGTAGTTCCGGAAACTGAAAACACTTCAAAGTGTGTAAAGGGATTTTTAGCAATTCGAACCGGGAGGGGTGAAAGAAAATTTCAAATAGTTTAAGATTCATAACAGTAGCGTAGATAGAGAAGATTAGAAATGAAGTTGTATTAGAAAAAATAGGAGAACAGAGGAGTCTGTGGAAGTCAATAAGAAATAGGCAAGATAGGTTAGTAGGACAACTTCTCACCTAAGAGGAGTAGAGGTAGACCTAGATTAGATTACCGTTTACAAATAGTTAAGAATGTGTGATGTTCTAATGTTAGGGAAATGCGAAGATTAGCTCAGAATATGAAAGAGTGGAGGTACATGTCCAGTCAGTCTTAGGACTGACGACCTAATGATGATAATGTATTCAAATTAACAACGTCTAAAT